CAAAGAGCCACTATACACGTAGAATTGGGTTACTGTTTAGGGAGTTAGTGGCTAGAGGGAAGAAGCTGTTTCAATGTCTGCTAGATTTGGTGCGCATGGATCGGTAGTGCTTGCCTGAGGGGAGTAGCTGGAAAAGGTGGTGGGCAGGATGTGGGGGGTCCAGTAGTAAAATCAAGTAAAATAAAGTAATTTCAGCCCCATAATTCTTCTTGATCAGTTTTTATATCTTGTTAGAAAGTCTGCATTGTTAAGATATTTGCAGTTATAAACGTTTCATGCATTGCTTACTGCAGTTTTTTTTTTTTTTTCAGCGACAATGACTTTCAACTGATGGGCTGACTCTGATCCCATTTTCTTGGAATATCATTTATACCGCACAGTGGAGATGCACGGAAAAAGCGGAAAAATACGTTTTTTTACCAGGAGTGTGAAAGGGGCTCCAGACTACTCATGTTAAATGTAGCAATAATTATGTGGAGATAGCTTTTAGAGTAAGGCGTGATGGACCTGCTTATGGTCGTTATTTTTTGAGAAAATAGAGAATCTGGCATAGCATATATTTGCTTTGCTGCCTTGTTTGGGATCTGGTCCTCATCACCTTCATCAGTCACACAGCCCGGGATCAAATGTAACATTTCTGAGCTCAGAATGGAGCAGATGTCTGCCAAACAGACGTTCTTGTTGCTATTGTTCCGCTATTTGAACATGGTTAATTTTGAAGCATTTGTGAGGAAGTTCACTAAAATAGTCTTTCTTTGGATTGGTATTGAATCAATTTAACTGTGTTCTCAAGCAGGTGTCTCATTAAAAAGTACTGCCGTGTTTAGTTGGGTCCAAGCTCTTTGATGGTCAGGACTAGACACACCCCCACATCCCTGCAATTTGAGTGCAATCAGTGCTCAATTATACCATTACCAGAGGTGTGGTCTTTAAGCAAGCAAAAATGTAAACATTTTTATTTTCATATGAATACTCGATTATGCGCTAAAATTTTGAGTAGGCTATCTGAATACCAAAAATTTTCGATAGCTGCAGCTCTAATACTTATTGTATGTTGCACAGCAGTTGTTGGCATAACTCACACTGCCTATTTGGAATGATGTATCAAATTCCCTATTTTTGATTGTTTCATTCTGTTAAGCAGGCGCACAGAGTGCGGCATCATCTTTTTCGAAACTAGCCACACAATGTGGTCAGTATAAAGGCTTATTCTTTTAGTTGGGAACGAAACCACAAACTTCCTGTTCCACCAGCAAGTGATTCTCATCCGACATGAGTCCAAATCACTAAAAGGTAACTCATTTTAGATTTTCCAAGTCTCTGTGTTTGATTTAAATGTCAAGGACAGCGTATGTTAACATACCACATTGTTTAGGTCATACATCCTGCATCGTCTCATGCCGGGCACACAGATGAGCTACAAACTCTCGTATGGTCACTGCAAATTTACAAATCAAGATTTTTTTTTTTTCTTGCTCTGATTTTCTTAAAAATACCCACTCACACTAGATCCCCTTTACAAAAAAAATGAAAAACATGTGCTTTCCTCATATCTTGTACTCACCTAATATACAGAGGTAGTTTGACCTAATTGGTTTGACTGGAATGGAGCCTTGCTGTATGAAGGAAGCCTGCACGCTGTTGGCATTATGCTTGTGGAGTCATATGGAGCTATATTGGAAGCACATTTTGCCCTCGGTGCTACTCTTAACACACAGTGTCAAGTTAATATAACGTGATAGACTGCATCGAATAGTTTTGGATGCTATGTTCGGATATTTGTGTAGCATTGGCCATAGTAGATGAACCATCACATTGTATTGTAATTGATACTGCGTTAAATTATTGGGTATTTGTCATGACATTGTCATTTTTGATCGAAACAATTTGACTTTTTCCAACTGTATGGCATTTCACCATGACGGGTGTCACAAAAGCTATATTTCAAATCCAAACCACAATCTATAAGTTTTCCCCTTTGACGTTATCCCCTTGGAGTCCAAATGTCTTTTTCTAGTTTCCTCTGCCATGCCTTCAGATACTCCTCAAAAGATTCTTCCAGGATCCTCCACAGCTTGATGTTGCCATGTCCTCAAAATGAGTTCCTTTGAACTTGGGTGAGTAGCGAGTTGCTACAGCATGGCCGTGTTCTTCTCGGCCGTAAACTGTCTGATGCTCAGGGTATTGTGAGCAGGGGCATTGTCCTGGTGAAGTAGCCACAGCTGTCCTACCACAGCCCACCCCTCCTCTCGCATACTGAACATGGCAAACACCACAGCGACACATTTTTTCAGCTGGCAGTGGGAGGCTTCGCAGCCTCACCGGGTCTGCGAGCCTTATTTTGAATGTTACTCGATCCGGTCAGGTGGGGTTTTTTTGGACACGTTACAAGAAAGTCGTGACAGCTCAGACAAAGGCTGAAGTGACAGCCGAAACTGTCAGCTAGTTAAGGGTTTTCTTCTTCACTAAAAATAGACCATTAAAAGAAACCTTAAATCTTACTTTGCTGTTTTTCACCTTTCTCGGGAGTTCTGGTCCCCATTAAACATGAAAAACGAGGGATTACTGTATTTCTTTGCTGTCTGAGTTTGCTGAAGTTTTCTGTTGCTCAGATTAATGGCACAGATGTGCGCTTTTTGAAGGTGTTTCAAATAATTTTCAGGTCAGTGGTAGTCACTCGCATTCCGCCACCCGGAAGTACTCTGGTGCCCATTGCAATGTTCTATTGCACCCATTCACCAATTATTAACAGGAGAAATAGAATTAAAATGAGTTTATCTTCGTGGTTGTGCCCCTGACTGCATGTTTCTGAAGTATCCTTCTTCTGATTGGACTTTTAAAACGGGCCTCAACAGGGCTCAAGTCTACTTTCTTTCTGTTTGTACTTGCGACCATTTTACGGGGCAAGTTCAATGTGACACCATATGAGGGCCTTCCCCACTCCCTTCTTTCTGACACATTTTTATGGGAGGGATGGTTCATGTGTGTGGCATTGAATAATGTATGGGTTATTATAATGGCAGTGTGTGTGCATGAATGTCTGCTTCTGTTAAGGCCAATGCCTTGCCTCAGCGTTTGAACATATTTTCAGAGGTGTCGAAATGAAGTCTAACATTGACTGCTGTAGCTGTATTCTCTGTTCACACGACTGGACTTTCTATGAGTTCGACAGCATGACATGATCCAGACTGTGGTCTCTCTGCCGCAAACAAAGGCATGCCACACACATGCACACATCACATATCCAGCTATCTGTGTTTGTCCTGCTTCTTCAGGCCTTCACCGATTGTTAGAAAACTTTACCAAGTGTGAGCATCACATGATCTCAGACAGGCCTTTATTATGTGACAGGAATGTGCAAGAATAGTTTGTGCAGAGATTTCAAAGAAACGAATGATTAATGATGTTGCTGAATGTAATTGAGTCTCATTTGTTACTCCCACCATGAGACATGGCAGTTTTATTTAGCCGCATTAAGTGTTTGTGTCTGTGTTTGTGCAACACTTCATCATTTGTATCACTTCTTTCTCAAAGAAAATATCACTGAGTCAAGTATTGATCAACTTTCTCAGCTTAGTAACTCACATACATTGCTGTACATGTGCGGCATTGCCATGCAAATACACACAAACTTACTCTTGTCTGGCCAAGAACACATTTGTGGCTTGAGGGTTCTCAAGTGTGTGTGCATGTGAGCGCTTTCATGGTGGCCCCAAGTGAGGGTGGAGTGCTCAAGCATTGTTTTCTCTTCGCAAGGGACCAAATGATGCCCTGCTCTTGGCAGGCGACAAATGAGAGCTCCACTTCAGTGGCCAGTAACACTATCCCCTGTCTTCGGGCTAGTAGCTGTGCTCAGCCTAAACAGAAACTATAGCAAATGCTAACCAAGGATTAATGGCCATTAAAATAGGTAGCTTGTTCCTAGGGAATCAAGCTAGTGTCTGTCCCATATATTTATATCCTGTGTCAACTCCCCACAGTTTAGAGAATTCCAGTGTGAATTTTGAACACTTAGATATAAGTCCAGAAATTTTTGGACAGTGACTTTTTTTTATGATTTTATAAGAATAAAGGCTTTTTCACAGTGCACACGCTTTCCTTGGTGTTCATTACAGTGCACAAGGACTTAAGTGCCCCGGTGCAAGTGTGCCCATATTTGGTGGTGCTTGTGTAGCAGCCAGCCAGTAAGTAAAAGGGATGCTTTTCCTGCCCTTTAATGATGGATAAAATATGATTACAGGAGCGCATGTTTTGAATTTTGTTTGGCTTTTCTGTATCACTTATTCAAACTTATTTTGACACTGTTTGGCAGTTAAAAATGTCACGATTGTTTTTCTTCATGGAGGGGAAAAATGTTTTGCAATTGGAAATCAGAGGGAAACAGACTGTGTTTGTCATTAGGCATTTGCTGTAGTTCTAAATTCTACTTGTGCTCAGTAAGTTATGCATGCGCACTTGAACATCGAAAGTGAAGATTTGTGATTCATGTTCCAAAGAGTGAAGATTGGCGATTCACGTTCCAAAGACTATTTTCACACAATCAGCAGTCTCTAAAAGATCCCTGGCAGCCCAATGTGCTATGCTTTTGTCTTCATTCCACAATTTGGCAAGTTCAGCTGGTGTGGAACCCTCTGTCGAAGGCAACATGTAATCAGAAACAGACTAGTCAAGAGAGTGGGTCATAAGCCAAGGTAATATTTATATTATTGTTACAACTCAAGCAGATCACATTTCAAAACAAGAATAAGTAACCGCCCTGTATCACACATTGAGCACACTCATTTTGCACTATCAGCATACACTGCCAGCAAGATAGTGTACATAATCTGCAGTGGTGAAAAACACTTCTGGCAACATCATTGGGAAGGAAGTGATATTTTCATGTCAACACATTTGCATGCACAAGGATTGCAAAACCAGGCACACCACAAATGTTGATGTTATTACAATGGATACGTAAAAAGAATCAAAGTTACAACTGCTTTGTGGATTTCTCCCAGCCAGATCTTTAGACAAATTATACAACTTTGCCGACTGTGCTGGTCTGCACCTCATCCTGGGCCTCAACGCACTGCACAGAAACCCTGACAACTCCTGGAACACCTCATCCACGCTCACCCTCCTCAAGTACAGCGCTGGCAAGAAATACAACATCTCCTGGGAGTTGGGCAACGGTCAGTACATTTGTCAGGGAGTATGACTAAGTACCCTTGTTTTTCCACATTGGCCATTTTAGAATCAGGATGGAAGAGTGGTCTGCCTTCAGGTTACAGTCTGTCCTGGAGGCGTGAGTTCAAATCCCACTTCTGATAATGACTTGTGCAAATGTAGCCGTTGTGGGACCAATACAAATTATTTTAAATGCCATATTTTCAAATAGATTATTATAATCAGGGGTGCATACAAGCAGTGTGCAGGAACGATGATGGCAGTAGGCGGGGTCATCTCGGTCTCTCCGGCACAACTTTGACGGTCAAAGTATGTCTTTACGTGACTGTGGTACATAGTGGAAAAAAAAATTGGACACTCGACCACTCTCCTAAAGTCCTGTACTAAATCAGATAGCTGATCACAGCGTCAAGGGTGGGCAATCTTTTGAAGGAGCCCTGCGAGAAGCTGAAATGGTTGCTGAGGGCCACATCAACATGCTAACTCCAATTGTCTTGTCACGGTGATCGACTGGTTAGGACATCCGCCTCGTAGTGCAGGTGTGCAAGGTACGAATCCGGCTCGGGCCTTCCTGTGTAGAGTTTACATGTTCCCCCCATGCCTGTGTGGGTTTTCTTTGGATACTCCAGTTTCTCTCTCTCTCTCTCTCTCTCACACACACACACACACACACACACACACACACACACACACACACAGAAGTCAGATTTAGTTCTTCCTATTTTAGATTTATGTTGGTACAGGGGGCTACTAGGATGTTAGCTGTTTTAAAATTTTTATTGTGAAGGACTGCTTTTGTTTTTTGACTTTGTAAAGGTTATTTAATTTGCCTGGGATTTCCGTGAGAGACCTCAGGAGATAATCTTCACCGTGGTGAAAACTAATGGGGATCTCACTTTAAACAATATAAAAAAATGATTTTGAAACAGCGTAAATAATAATTTAAAGATACAAGCCATTGAACTATTAAATTTTATCCATCAATCTATTTCATCCTGGACAACAAATCCGGCGATTAACTGAGGCCGAGCATCTTTTAGACCACTATTGTAAGAAATGTGTTGTATTCACTAGACATGCCATTACTGACACCATTACATTCAATACAAATGAAAGACATACCGTATTTTCCACACTAAAAAGCTCACTGGATTATGAGGCACACCTTCAATGAATGGCCTATTTTATAATTTTTTTCATACACTGGGCGAACTGCATTTTAAGACGCAATCTACAATGCATCCACTAGATGGAGCTAAGCTCAAGGAAACACCAACAGAACAATCAGATGTCAGTAAAACGTATTTAGTAAAACAGCGACACAGTTCACTTAACCAACAGCAAGTTATAACATTGACTCATTAACGTTGAACTCTCTTGCCGCTGCTCTTTTTCAGTGTTCAACTGCGTAACCGATCACCTTAAGTTTGAACTCTGCGTTGTCAGCATGCCTCGAGCAAGGAGCCATTTTGGGGTGGAAATATTACCGTAATGACCATACACAAAGCGCATCGGATTTTAAGGCGCGCTGTGAGCTTTTAAGAAAATGGAAGGCTTTTAGGCGCACCGTTTAGTGCGGAAAATACGGTACTATTATTTTAATAAGACACTTTTCATTAACTATTTGAAGTATCATGAACAATATCTTCTATGGAGAATTGTCCAATGATAAACGACACATCGGCTGCTCATTTGCACTCCAGATTTTTTTTCTGCAAGAGAGACATGGAGGCTATTGAGATTACTATTTACGACTGGGAAAATCTTGTGGCCGACTGTTGTGGGTAGAGAAGCACCCTGACTAAACAATTGATTGTTATTTTTTGCAAAGACATTGTCCAGATCTTGCTTTGTGTCCTGTTTGATTTTGCAGTGCTGTCAATTCACAAATATTTCCTGTCCTGGCCTACACATGGCTTGTTGGAGAGAAGGGTTTATTAAATATCATTGCTTTCAGCCTTTTTTCTTTTCTTTTTTTTTTTTTAAACAATCTTTTACAAGTATGTTTTTTTTCCCCTTGTTTTTTCATTATTGGCTTGCATTCATTTATTAATTGTCTGGCCTGATTTGGAAATCCTGTGTCAATTTCAGTATTTGTTTTTTCAGTTTTCTTTCTTTTTTTTTTTTTAATGGCAAAATGATTGAAAGGGTTTTTAAACATGTTAGTCCAGTATTTCAGGGGTTAATTGTAAGTTCACATGAGGAATGTGGAAGACCCGCGAGTCCTCATCTGTGCTCCGCACATAAGGAGAGGAACTGAAGCACACTCAAACCGCTGTCTTAAAGCATAAAACGAAATGAAACGTGATCTAAAAAGTTCACACTTAACACACACATACAGTATAACATGGCTGCTACCCAATTGCCGGCTACCGCACAAATACTGGCGCTGTCTACATTTTCACTCGCTATGAATGACGCCACTTATTTCAAGAGTAACTTCTGTGTCATAGTTTTCATCTTTTTTTTTTTTTTTTTTGACCAACTTCATGTCCTAAAAGGAATAAAAGCAAAACACACCCGTGGCATTCTCACCACCTGCATTATGACAGGTCAGTGTTAAACATTTGTGTGACATTTAAGACATATTTTTCCTTCTACTTGATTTTCATCTGCCACACAGCTCCCGCTTGGACCTTTTATGTTATCCTCGGCGGTTGACTGAAGACCGTGCAGAATGCGTTGATTTGACCATGTCAAATCTTTGCGTGAAGACGTGTACCATGGCGAAAGAAGCTATTTAAAATAGATTGTGCAGATGCAGTGAACATTTATGGAGGGGAATTGCAAAGGCTGTTGCTCGTAAAACCGTCTGGACCGAACCTCGTAAACAACAGATAAATACGTAGACACATAATGATAATGCTCTTTATAGGAGTATTTCATCAACGTTTAAACAACACGTTTTGTCTCCTGTGTTTTGGGTTAAACCAGTGCACTCATTTCATTTGTTTTTTTTTTTCCATGACGTTGAGTTCATCTCGCCACTTGTAATGAGTTTCTCGTCATGTTTTTGCTGGCTGCTCTCAAAGAAACCAGAATGCAAGAACAATATTCTACACTCTTTATGTTAACTGTGCCTGTTTTCCTCCCAGAACCCAATGCCTACCGCAGCATGGTGGGCCGTGCCATCAACAGTACCCAGCTGGCTCAGGACTACACCCAGCTGCGGACCCTGCTGCAATCTGTGCGCTACTATAACCGAGCTCACCTTTATGGCCCTAATGCCGGAAGACCCCGGAGGAATGCCATTCTACTTCTGGACGGGTCAGTCAAGATTACACACACTACGGAAGCTTCATTGGTCTTGAGACAGATGCACGCGCAGTCACACACATGTGTTTATGTCTTTCTGGATGGCCCGTTTGAGCGTCTCAGCCCAAGTTATATCATGTCAGCCTAAACGAGGTGTCACCTGATTTACAGCGTGTCGGCACAACGTCTCACCTTTTGCTCCAACACTAAATTAGAGCTGCAGGATTATCTAACTGTGCTTGCTGATTAATTCACACTACGGTGGCTATTCAGTGTCATACATTTTTACTTAAGAGAGGTAAGGAAATAAGGCAAACTTGACTGCTTACTTTACTGAACATTTTTACTCTGGATGATACCATAACTTTGAAAAATGTAGTTTTTCTTTAACAAGGTTCTCAAAACATTTGATTTGTTAGTCTCCTGTCAGATATAATAATATTGACAAGCTTTCTTGTTTCTAAATCTGTGAACCGATACTTTGGCACAAAAAGTATCATAACATACACCACACATGAGACGGTGGTTTAAATAATCAAAAAATAATAATTTTAAAATGATTGTGTGGTTGGAAGTGCTAAAGTATTAAGATCCAGAATGTTAATGTTTTCAAAGAATGTTTTTTTTTTTTTTTTGTGTGTTTTTTTTTTTAGACATTTGGAAAAGCTTTCTATTCAACAATGACAGTATTATTAAATCCACCCATCTGTTTTGCACTGATTATCCTGGAAGAGGCATCGGTCATTGAACAGAGAAAACATAAATCAAGGCTAGAGCCAAAAACGGAACGAGAGTAATAAGAGAGTGTCTAGACGCTAGACGAAATGCACATGAACAATGACTTGAGCAAGGCGAAATTATCCGACAGCTTGACGTGGGTCCACAAGCTCCTGAAAGAGTCCCAATAATTGTGATGCCAGACAGGTGCGCAGCAGGAAAACCGGGAACGCCTCTGCCACCTGCTGTACACTAAGAGAACATGATCATGACAAAAATGTTGCTATACTCCTGTCAAATGTAATTCTATTATGAAGCTTTGTTTTTTCAAAGTCCATAAAAAAAAATCCATAAAAAAAAGAGGTTCAAGTGTTGCCCATGATTAATGAATCAAAGAAAAACATTTTAAAATGTGAGTCAGGTTTCAAGACAAAAATATTAAGACAGAATGTAGTGCCCATGGTGCTGGGATTAAAATGCAAATGACATTAAAACCACATTGGCGAGGCTGTTTTGGTCAACAGAGTGCCTGTACCCTGTAGTGTGGTTGGATGGAAAGATGTCCCAGCTGCAACCAGTCACATTTATGCGAGTTTTCTAACGACCAAATAAGTGCAGTGGAAGCATTGGCCTGTTATCGCTAGGCTTCAACTCGCACTGTTAAATAAACAATTGGAACAACGCAACAGAGCCCATAAAGTTTAACGGCATTGGTAAAGCCGTAATAAAATCATGCGTGCAGATAAACACAGGAAGAGTTTGTCTGTGCATATCTCAGCCTGAATCTGCCTCTTCTCTGCCGCCACCCGCATTTTGACAGGTATTTGGAAGGGACGAATTTGATACAAGCCTCCCTTCGCTCAAGCGACTTAGATCAACAAGGACGTTAAGAGCAGCAGCTGTTTGTTTCTGACAGGTTCAATTTACTCGCAAATAAAAAACTGTGTGTTTGAGCGACTGGTGAGCGGTTGGCGATAGGAAGGATGTGGATGATAAATGCGAGAACCGGAGGAGGAGTCTGAGAGCGAAGAAGGCTGGGGTGTCTTTATGTCGTGTGTGTCAAGTTTAACAACGAGGTGATTCTAGTGTGTTTGACACTCTTACGAGGGCCGTTCTGGTGTCGGAAAGCTAACGTTGATTTAGACTGGGAGCTGCTAACTATCCAAATAGCCGAACTGGACAGACTAAACAAGCCAGCGAGGCGAAAGTTGTGTGTGTGTCTGATGTTTAGAAATACACATTCAAGCATGTCTGACAAGCTATTACGCCCCAAATATGGAATCATTAGTGTTTGGTACAAGGCGACTGCAAATGCTCACACTGAAAGACTCAACAATGGAGGGAGCCTTTGGAGTTTTGAATTACATTTGGGCTCAATGTTTTGGGCCTTTTCATAGATCATTTCATTTTTTAAGTACATTGGTACTCGGCCATTTTGGTTTGATCTTAACTTGTGAGCAATCCAGGTTGTTGCCTGCCTTTGATCCAAAGTCACTTAGGTTGAGCAGTAGCGGAAATGGATGAATAGCATTATTTTCAACCAATCTTTGTTTTTCTTATTTGATTCCGTGAGCCTGTTTGTAACTTGAAATGTTTATAAATCGAGGTAATATTTCCCATTGAGATGAATGGCAATGCAATTAATCCGTTTCAGGCCCCAAATTAAGTTATATTTACCTTTTTTTTAAACGGTGTGTGGTTTGATCAAATTTCTTTTGATCATTCTTTTAATAATTGTTATATTGTCTCACTTACCATATCACCAACAAATGCTTTTTCTCATTTGTTTTGTCTAATACAAATTGAAACAACAGCACATATGTATAGCCCGGTTACAAAACGTGAGAGGAAGAGCACAGATCCTTCTGCATCTGTACGACAAGCGAATCCCATAACACTCGTTTTGGCAGTTTCCCTTTTGTTAAGGTCCATTCAGACTGTTTTGCGCTTTATTTATGTCCTTGGGAAAAGTTCAACCTGCCTGTCATCAGGGGACCACCTTCCACATTCATTCAACGCAGCTGCTTCTGGCATCTTTGATTGAGTGAATGAATGTATTGTAAGCAGGTTGAACTACCTCGCAACAAGCGGGGACGGCTACCTGTTCTTTTAATTAAAAATAACGCTACATTATAGTACATAACTTACACACTTTAAATAGATCTGTGATTGGCTGGCAATCAGTCCAGGATGTATTATTGCCTGAAGACTGCTGGGATAGGCTCCAGTATGCCACCAACCCTCGTTAGGATAAGTGGATTAGAAAATGGATGGATGGACTTTAAATATGTTTTTTGGGACGAAAATAAAATAATTTTTGGCCATCACAAACACAGCAGCGATTTGTGAACCTCTGCCTATATATGCAACAGCTTCCGCCCTCAGCGGCAGAGGGATATGGCTAGTTTTCAAATCAGTGTTATGCACGTTGTCAAGGATGGTTACGCATTGCAAGAAGAATTAGAACATAGATCCATTCGCTTGTCCATGCCAAAGTCCATTCATATATCGAAAATAGTACATAAGTAGTGGTAATTGTATGTAAAAAGGAGGATTCGCAACTTGATTTTCCACTGTACAGGCCCAGAATAACAGACCAACTAAAAAGACATTAGGGAGTAGTGTGTGACCGTATACTGTATCTACAATTTTCTCTTGTTTCATTTATTAACTAACTGTGCCAATGATAACACTGCTTGATATCTCAATTGTTGTGAGCATTAAACTTTAAATAACCTAAAATAAATACCATCCAAATGGTGGCAGCACCGCCTCATATACATATATCAGTACAAAAAGTTCCGCGTTTCCATTTGTAGAAAAGCTCCTGGAAGCAATTGAATGTTTTAAAGTATCCTCAACAGCAAATGGCCCTATTAAGTGTTCTTCCACTTTTTAGGTTGGGGAACTTAATTGCGCTTGCACAGAAATGTTTCCATGTTGTGAATCAGTGTGAGACATTTAAATTACGTTCCGTTCAGATTGGTTGTGCTTAATTTGTTTTTGTTTTTTTCTTATTTTCAGATTCATGAAAGATGCCGGCTCTGTTATTGATGCAGTTACGTGGCAACAGTAGGTATTTTACCCCATTTTTCCTCTTTTGACTCCCATTGACATTGACAGAATACACAGACCGTTCCCTTTACGATGTTGCTGCAGATCGTGACAATGTCTGCAATTGGATTTTCCAAAATGATTGGCTAGTTATTCTTAAAAATTACACACAATTAACTCAACTGGTCAAAGTTGGTAAGAATTTCCGAGACACAATTGGTCACAAAAAAAAAAAAAAAATTCACAAAATGTTAATAAAATGTTGCTGAAGTGTTGGAGGGTATATTAATTATTTCGCAGCATTTTCAGCTCCAATTCATGGATAATGATGTGCCTCGGCCTTGAAAAGTCTTAATTTTGGCTTCCTCAAACAAGAAGATATCCTGCCAAAGTAACCTTGAATTAAAAAAAAAAACCCAAAAACATCATTTGTAGTCATAGCCAGACATTTCTGTTTTCTTACTGCGAAATTGAGTTACATTGTGAAGAACCGCGAATATTGTGGTGCTGGAAAAAAGAAGGCGAAACATCCTACAGTTTGTGTTAAATTAGTAACGCCTGTCGTTTGCCTATTACACACATTCTAGGAATGCATAACTCCTGTCTCTTTGCACACGTGTGTATGCAGAACAACAGACCCACCTTGCGTGAATGTACGGTCAGTGAGGCGAAAGTCAGGTCTAAAAAGAAGAAACGGAAGGAGGAAGGGCTTGTCAGTAGAGCTTACAAAAACACCACCCACACTGTTAAAATCAAACCATATGTTCCAGCTCATTCTCTCTGTCAATTAGGCAGTTTTATACGAAAGCTCCAGATTCCAGTCTTCCCAGCGTGCATGACAGAAACTCTCATGTCTACCAGAGGAACTAAACTAATAAACTTGGAGCACACTCATTAGCACGTCTCTGATATGCATTTCACTGCAGTGCAGCTGCCATGAGTTGCTTTGTACAGTACTTTTCAAATGCTGTGGTCATTTCAATGCCCTTTTTTTCCCTGTGCGACTTAGTTTTCACAATCTTACATTTGAAACGGTCTGTCGGTCTGAGAGGTTTTCTCTTCCAATGTCATTTGTTTAACTTATGAATTAATTGCCGTTATTGTATTACAAACTGTTTTCACTCCTTTTCAGATGGATTACTTTTACCTTTTGAGCGATAAATCAGCTGATTGTTTGAATTAGTGTGTGTATGTGTGTGCGTGTGTGTGTGTGTGTGTGTGTGTGTGTGTGTGTGTGTATTTTTTTTTTTTTTTTTTCAAGGGCAATTTTTCTTTGTGTCGTGTTTTGGATTAAAAATAAGTGCCCGTGTATGAGAGAGAAAAAAAGCGAGCTATCGAATGTGTCATGTTAATTTTTGAAGAAAACCGTTTTTTTTTTTTGTAAACACTAAATATTTGAAGTTGAATTATGTATTTTAATTTTGAATTTAACTCAGGTTTTTTCTTCCATCTGCAACAAATCATTTTATTCTGATGTAATGTATCTTTTTTAAAATTCATATATATTTGACATAAGACCAGGAGTGGAAAATAATTTTTCAGCAGAAAATATTGTGGAGGGCCCGTTATCAGTTTTATTTCTACACTGAAAGAAGTCAATGATATTGTTCACAGAAGCAAGTGGTAGGAACCCAAAGCAAACACAACAGACATTGGCAGGGTTAAAAAGTTTTTCGTTGGTTTTTTTTGTTGTTTTTTTTTTTTTTTTTTTTTTTTTTTTTTTTTTCATTTTTGGCAAGTGAGATGCACATAAACCAACGACTACATAAAAAGCGACATGACAAATAAAGGTCTACCTGAGAACAAAATAAGTAATCCTACCAAATAAAGAAGGTGGACGGAAGCCACAGCATTGCTGTAGTTCTAAATTCTACTTGTGCTCAGTAAGTTATGCATGCGCACTTGAACATCGAAAGTGAAGATTTGTGATTCATGTTCCAAAGAGTGAAGATTGGCGATTCACGTTCCAAAGACTATTTTCACACAATCAGCAGTCTCTAAAAGATCCCTGGCAGCCCAATGTGCTATGCTTTTGTCTTCATTCCACCAAATAAAGAAGGTGGACGGAAGCCACAGCAGGAAGAACTAGCGAGCTAAAATCAAACTGTAAACTGCACAAGGCAGATGAATAAAACAGAAAAAACATGCTTGTACTTACAGACAAAAGTAACTTCTAGGCAAGACACAATACAAGAGGTAGGCACTGGTGATAAACAACTTTTCAGTGCCTTTCTGCTGTGTCACCCGTGCCTAAAAACCTTTATCACCAGCAGGTGTGACGCGGGTGCTTTCGCCCAACAACACGGGGAAACGCAGGGAAACTGCAATATAGAGGAACACGCAGGAACAAGCAAACAAAACAGGATGTGACATTTATAGCCCTTTAAAACGGCGTTCAAAGGGCAGAACAAACTTCCAATCAGCCGCCAACCTCCAGTTAGGCCCTTTGACCTTGTTAAGTCTTGACTGCTACATTGCCGTCTAGCTTTGTGAAAATATGAGCGAAAAAAGTGAACGGGACAAATTTGCTTCCTATTTGCTGTGTAGTGGCCCCTGAACGCACACTTAATATGAGCTCTAATTGCAAGCAGCAGTGCATTTGTGGTGCAGAGGCCTGTTTTTGTTTTTTTTTTTAAATAATGCCAAGGAAGCAAATCCTAGTCCTAAATATATCAAATACAATGTATATCAATCAGGAAAAAAAAAAGAAAGAAAAAGAAAGAAAACAGCCGTTCATAGCCAAGTAAACAAACAACATCAACTAAATTGAACTCAACACAAACGCCACATTGGAAACCGGGCAGAAATTCTTCAGTTTTAAATAAAATTAGTCTTGTCCTCTCTTACTTCCCAAATGACATTTCTTGCCCATTTCCTTGTTTTGTTGTTGTTGTTGTTTTTTTTTTTGTATTTACTGTATGTTATTTGCCATTAACATTTAAATAATGTTCTCTTGAGTCTGAAAAGTGCAGCTCTGTACGTTTACTGAAAGCTGATATTACAATGACATGCTGTTGTTTTTTATACATACAGTATGTCAAAACAACTTAAAGCAAAAGATATGTTTTGCTTTGTTCGTTTTAAAAATACATGATTTAACATTTTCATCTCTCCTTAGTTTTCAAAATAATGACTTGAAACACTCATCACACCAAAAAAGGAGCAGCGGGGAACTTTTCCCATCAGGGGCTGTTTTTTTCTTTTCTTTGTAAGTTGACTGAGGGCCATATAAATCAAGATGGAAAAAAAAATCAGGCAAAGATTGAATGAAGGGTGTAATATATATTATGAAAATATGTGGCTTTGAATGTTTTTGTGCAGATTCTGCTGATTTTCTTTTCAATTTAAAACTGCACAGTCGGCCAGATCAAATGCTCTCACGAGGCCGTAGGTCCCTCTGAAGTGATTCAAGTGTTTGCCAATTATACATTCAAAGCATTTGATTATTATTATTTTACTATTGAACCTAATAGTATTTTAAACTGCGACAGTAAACCGTCATGCGAGAGAAACCGCGTGTCACTCCACATCTAGCACATCACTGGCATGTGGACATTGGCTTTTCCAAAGTAAAGCTGTTTGAAAGCCAGGAATTCTTTGATGCTGTAATTGTAATGAGCCATTTTTTTCTCTCTGCTTCACTAGCTTCATTAACATTGTCAATTTGATTTATGGATCTGACTGAGGAATCTATGTCCTTTTTCTTAGTTTCTCTCTTCAGTTCTAAAATATAAGAATGGGAAATTGGCGTCACACAGCAGAAACTATTATTAATAGCTTTTATTACTGTGGTGCTGCTAAAAGAAAAAAACGGTCTCAAAAATGGCGTCCAATAACCAGATAAACAGCTCTCTATTGTTCCTCCATGTTGTTAAATTCTGACTGGATTTTTGTCATCATTTTGTGTTTATGTTGATGTTTGTCTGTTTTATTAGTGAAGTAAAACAATCACTTGCTTATAAAAAATTGCTACTGTGGATCATCATGCTTTTTAATCTTAACGAGTATGGCTCATGTTTATTACAAATGGAACAAAATACAATCCAAAAGATAAACTGCAGTTTTACAAAGTTTGGAAAACATAGAAGTCATTTAATTTTATATTCCAATCAGATATCCGTATGCTCATTCTGTACCTTAGACACACACACACGCACACACGCGCGCACACACACACTCGCACGCACGCGCACACATGCGCGCGCAGAACCACTATTGCATTGTTTAGCTGCAATTTGAAACTTCGTTCCCTCCAATTGCAAACTTATGTCCCAGTCCCACAATCTGGCTTCAAATTAGATTCTTAGTGGCTGGTCATCCCAGTCATTGCGAAACAGGGCAACCTTCTAAAAGTCATATTACCACTATTTTGGTTCTCCAAGTTGCAGTCCGAAAGCAGTTGTGGTTTGTAAATCTATATTGAAAATGTCATCCAGCAACCGCATACCCAGCAAATGAGATCACACTCCGTCAAGTTTCTAGAATGCAGAGAAATGAAGCTCGACGTTTTCTGTGATTGTTTTGTATTGTTTTACAGTTCAATTGTATGTGTTCCACAGTTATTTCCAGGATGGCGGAGTGAAAAAAGTGGAGGATTTCTTAAAAACACGTTTATTAGATGCGCTGAGAGAACAGATGACGAAAGTTGCCAAGGTACTGGTATTTCTGAAAAGTTGGTTGTAATTGATTGTGTGCTAAATGTAGGAATTTTTGGAGTCTACTTTAACCACAATATTAGTCAAAGGAGTAGCACCAAACCAAGTCAACATTTACTCAGATTAATTCAAGTGGAGTTTTTCATCATGTACCGGTAACTTCCTGATGCAGTTTTGAAAGTCATCTTATGTTATGAGGAGACGGGATTTAAAATGGTGGATAGGATCCCAGTAGAGTTTGACATGATCACACAACAATATTGTGCGGGTCTATGTTTATTTACCGGGAGCTGTTTGTTTCGTCCAGTCTGTCTTGTTGTAATAATCCTTATTTGAAACTCCAAGTTTCACTTTACATACATTCTAATACACGAGTGGCGTGTTTCTAACGTTTACCACAAAAATCTATTTGTACAAAATGAATCTATTGACACCTGTGTATGTACTTTTTGTGGCAGGTGGTGAGCACGCATGCACCTGGTAAGAAGGTGTGGCTCGGTGGACTGGGCCCAGCTTGGTCAGGAGGCATCAATAATCTCTCGGATACATTTGCTGCCGCTTTCCTGTCAGTAATATTCTTAACGCTATGAGTCATGAAAGAATTACATGCATGTTGAAGCAATGTTGTTATTTTATATTATTTTTTTCTTAATTGTGTGTCTCATATGCTAGGTGGGCGAACACGCTGGGCATGGCTGCTGTTCAGGGAATTGATGTAGTCTTGCGTCACTCATTCTTTGATTACGGATACACGCATCTTGTGGACCAGCATTTTAACCCTTTACCAGTAAGTGGTTTTTTTTTTTATCATGCTGAGGTCCTTCCTCAGTAGGTGAATGCTAGTTCCCATCTGGTCCTAGATGCCCTCCTATACTGGCCCAGACCACCGCAAGGTTTGTGCCGAATGATTGTAATTTGACCAGCGCAATTTGGGGGGGATTAATTGTTGCGTTGTTTAATTCCGCATAGTCTTCCGGCAGCTTTTTGATTGTTTTTGTGGTAAATACACCACTCTCACATGTTATAATAACCACATGACATGACACAGCCAATCAAATCGTTTATTCAGAACAACTTTGCGAGTTGAGTGTGTGAGTGTTTGCCAGTAGTGAGTGGATAAATCCAAGAAAGAAACTTCAAGTTCAACAAATAATGCCTGCTTTAGAAGAAGAAAACGGACTTATGTCCCAGTCCCACAATCTGGCTTCAAATTAGATTCTTAGTGGCTGGTCATCCCAGTCATTGCGAAACAGGGCAACCTTCTAAAAGTCATATTACCACTATTTTGGTTCTCCAAGTTGCAGTCCGAAAGCAGTTGTGGTTTGTAAATCTATATTGAAAATGTCATCCAGCAACCGCATACCCAGCAAATGAGATCACACTCCGTCAAGTTTCTAGAATGCAGAGAAATGAAGCTCGACGTTTTCTGTGATTGTTTTGTATTGTTTTACAGTTCAATTGTATGTGTTCCACAGTTATTTCCAGGATGGCGGAGTGAAAAAAGTGGAGGATTTCTTAAAAACACGTTTATTAGATGCGCTGAGAGAACAGATGACGAAAGTTGCCAAGGTACTGGTATTTCTGAAAAGTTGGTTGTAATTGATTGTGTGCTAAATGTAGGAATTTTTGGAGTCTACTTTAACCACAATATTAGTCAAAGGAGTAGCACCAAACCAAGTAAACATTTACTCAGATTAATTCAAGTGGAGTTTTTCGTCATGTACCGGTAACTTCCTGGTGCAGTTTTGAAAGTCATCTTATGTTATGAGGAGACGGGATTTAAAATGGTGGATAGGATCCCAGTAGAGTTTGACATGATCACACAACAATATTGTGCGGGTCTATGTTTATTTTCCGGGAGCTGTTTGTTTCGTCCATTCTGTCTTGTTGTAATAATCCTTATTTGAAACTCCAAGTTTCACTTTACATACATTCTAATACACAAGTGGCGTGTTTCTAACGTTTACCACAAAAATCTATTTGTACAAAATGAATCTATTGACACCTGTGTATGTACTTTTTGTGGCAGGTGGTGAGCACGCATGCACCTGGTAAGAAGGTGTGGCTCGGTGGACTGGGCCCAGCTTGGTCAGGAGGCATCAATAATCTCTCGGATACATTTGCTGCCGCTTTCCTGTCAGTAATATTCTTAACGCTATGAGTCATGAAAGAATTACATGCATGTTGAAGCAATGTTGTTATTTTATATTATTTTTTTCTTAATTGTGTGTCTCATATACTAGGTGGGCGAACACGCTGGGCATGGCTGCTGTTCAGGGAATTGATGTAGTCTTGCGTCACTCATTCTTTGATTACGGATACACGCATCTTGTGGACCAGCATTTTAACCCTTTACCAGTAAGTGGTTTTTTTTTTTATCATGCTGAGGTCCTTCCTCAGTAGGTGAATGCTAGTTCCCATCTGGTCCTAGATGCCCTCCTATACTGGCCCAGACCACCGCAAGGTTTGTGCCGAATGATTGTAATTTGACCAGCGCAATTTGGGGGGGATTAATTGTTGCGTTGTTTAATTCCGCATAGTCTTCCGGCAGCTTTTTGATTGTTTTTGTGGTAAATACACCACTCTCACATGTTATAATAACCACATGACATGACACAGCCAATCAAATCGTTTATTCAGAACAACTTTGCGAGTTGAGTGTGTGAGTGTTTGCCAGTAGTGAGTGGATAAATCCAAGAAAGAAACTTCAAGTTCAACAAATAATGCCTGCTTTAGAAGAAGAAAACGGCAGAAAAAAAGCATTGAAATCTTTTTTTTTTTTTTTGGTAATGCTCAGTCTCGCAAACCTAGCAATTTTTCTGAAAAAATTAATATGGTCTGTCTTGTGTTTATTTTCCATTTTGAAGCATTTTAAAAAGCATGTCCGTTTTATTTGGAGCCTTTAATGTATATTAAAGTGTTTAGTATTTCAAAAATATTGTTGCATTAATTTTGACATTCAGTTGGTGAGAGAAAAAAATGTAGAAGTGTATTACGTGCTGCGTTGTGATGGACCAGCCCTTGGGGGTGAAACAATTTACTGAACTGGACCACTTGAACTTTTATTTGAGGGACCCTACTCAATGGTATTCCGCACAATTAGTGTCTATCCTCCCGTTTGGAGTAACAGAAGGAGCCGAATAATTTTGCAGCTTCCTCTACCAGAGCCAGTCCAGTCTCCTCCTGGATTGCACCTCTCGGTTTTTCCCGTGGGAGCTATTAGCTGAGATGAAAGGCGTTTAGCAGTGATGAGTGGTTAGACGCGGGGCGAAACGCTATGTAACCTTAGCCCTTTGTCAGTAACTCAGGACAGTGTCACTGCCTCCCCGCCCCCATCCCCCGTACCCTCCATCACAAATGGGTGCCTCTCTCTGTGCATCACTTTGGCCCAACTGAGAGAAATGCAACCTGAGATTCAGATACACGAGCGCGTATGACGGATATCCAAAAACATGCTGAAATATGGAGTACTTGTATTTCAGATAATAAAAATCAATCTCTCCTACATTTTTCCACCATTTAATCTCTTCTACCCGGTGAGGACAAATGCCGTTTCACTGCCTTAATAATGTGCCTACCTGAAGTATTTACTGCAAGTCATTTTGCACACAACCATTGTTAATTTGGTAGAGTTGTTCCTTTAAAGTGGTGAAACACTGATTTTAAACCATTTTGCTGAGCAATACATATACATTGAAAGAGTCATAAAATCACAAATTGCAAATGCGAGTGAAGTTATTTCGTTTCCTATCGAGCAAAGAGAAAGATGACATGTCAAGATTTACTTTTGCGTGCAATGAAACATCAAAGACATTTGTTCTCTTTTAGCTTTCAGGAATAGGAAAAGAATAGACTTTGGCACTCCAAAATCCCGGTTCCGATAACATCTTCTGTCATTCGGCTCAGAAGCAACACTCTTCTTCAAAACTTTCCTTTTTCCTTTTTTGATTGGATCCACCCTTTTGAAACTCACTTCAGCTATGAGATCATAAACAATGAAAATGACATTTCTTTTTTTATTTCTTCTCCGTGTCCATTATTTTTCTTGGACTGGTGGCCTCCCGCTAGGATCACAATGCTTTTAAAGTTGCGGGGCTTCTAAAGGCTGCGCTGGCCTACCTGCTGAGAAAATTCACTGCAGGGCCAACTTGTCCTGTGGACTAGAAATTTATGACCTGGCCCTTCCTTTCCCTTTAGGTAAAGTAGATGTCCAAACCCTTCTTCCATCACTGAGTGACTCAGCCACTTCTGCAGTCCCCTTTTTTTTTATGGAGTTATCCCACACTTCTCTTTTTCTTTCTTTACAATTTGCTCCTTCCTGTCTTCATCCACAGGTGCTTTGAGAATTCCCAGATCCTGTAATCTGAGGTACATTTTTAGATCTGCCAAAACATCAAGCGTGTGGTTCTAAGTAAACACAATAATTTTTTTTATGATGATACTTTGTTCATTCCCAGAGGGGACGTTCACTTTTACACTCTTTTTATTTTTGTTACATGGAATTCACGCAAATGTGTGCACACACGTAATCCACACGCATTCACAATGGATTCAATGGGCTCGCAGGAATGGGTGTCGCAAGCTACACTAGCGCGGCGGCTCGATGCTTAAGGGCATCTCCGCGGTGCTCAGGAAGCGGACTGGCACCTTTCCAATAGCCACTACCGAGTTCCATATTTTTACTCCAGGTCAGGTCTCAAACCCAAGGCAAGCACTCGCATGTTGTGATCCTGTGCGTAGATGTGTGCAATTTCTGTAGTGTTTTGTAAGTGTTCTCTCCGTCGGACGTCACTCATGACCAGACGGATGAATTGCCGAGGCACAAAGTTTGCAAATAAGCAACCCCATAAATACATTAAAAAAAAAAAGACCGCCTTAGAAGAAGCCTGACAGACACAAAATGGAGAAAGAAAACCAAGGTGGTGGTTGGATAGTGTTACCGTCACCGTGCGTCATTCTATAGAAAATAATCCGCACAGCACATCTTATTTATTTACAATACTTTGCTTTAAAACTTTAGGTGCGCTATTTTATTGCCAAAGTGCGCGTCCTTTAGCTGTGCAGCTGGTGTTTGGTTGTTTTCTGTTGAGTAGTGTTACCTCCCCAGGGGCATTACTTGTCAAGAATTTACTACCTGTCCATCATTTCAATGTGAAGATCAGCGTGGCGGTTGTCTCCTTGTCATAAAGCCAAACAGGTGCTTTTGCATTTGTCATTACGTCATATGAGATGGTCACATTGACCATCTTGCAAGACCATATGTGAACTGTATGAGTTGCCATGCTGAGACTCACAATTTAAACTTTTTGGTATTCACAACGTAGAGTACAGCACTTCAGGCATCCCGCTGCCCGTGGCCAGCGCTATATTGTGTCCTTCTGGTTCTTCCAATGATTCAGCAGCAAATTAAGTTAGTCTGCTTGGAAAAAAATAAGCCCCTAAATGTTGCCATATGCAGGATTGCATGGGAACTTCCTGGGCAACACATGTTGTTCAGGGGCTCTTGGAGAGGTGTTGAGCCTGTGTTCTCCACGGAGAGAACAGCAATGAATGAATACAGCAATCAATATATTTAGTTTTTTAAAAAGTCATCATTGAGACAATCGATTCCAAATTAGTGGGGAGTTGCAATGTGACATATCACATGAGCCAATTTGCTTCAGGTGTCAAAAAATTCCACATTATTTCTTTTGTGAGGCATGCAACTTGCTCTTGGACTTTTGCCAAAAAAAAAACAAAAAACAAATGCGCCTCACCGGAATCCTTCTTTTCCATTCCAGTCCTTCAAAATTGACACGCATAATTACGTCTCAACGTGGGGCGACAAATCCTAGAAGTAATGTACTGTATGTGTGATGTATTTCCCTTTTCAGGATTACTGGTTCTCCCTGGTCTTCAAACGTCTAGTGGGGCCGAGGGTCTTAGCCGTGCAGGTCGCTACAGTGCAAAGGAAGCCGCGAACAGGACGAGTCATACGGGGCAAGCTGCGCATCTACGCCCACTGCACCAGTTACTCCAAGTATGTGCTGCGACGCACGCAATCAAAGCAATGGACGTGAAATTCAGTTATTTGGTTCTTGAGGCTGACGCAACAGGGCACGCATTCATTGCGGGAGTGTTGTGGAAGATTCTGATTGAAACCAAGTTGCGTCATTACCGCTCCTTGCTTTCTCCTGTAAACACCTTAAGCTCAGCGCATCTGCGGGACCAACATAGTCCACAGCCAGCCTACTGACTTTCCCATAAATGAGCAGGCCTCGGACACACGCACGTTCGCAGTTCCGAGCTTATAAAACTTAACGGGTATCACTTATCAGGTGTGTGGGTTGTGCCTCTCCGCTGTCAAAGAGTTGCTGAAATGTGTGCTACGCCTTTATTCCGTCTCGGATTGGCTGGAGGGGTCCATTTGAAGGGGTGGGACAATAAGGGAGTCTGTGCAGGGAGGAGATAAAGAGTACCACCATGGCCTGTTCAAGGTTATCATTTAACCCTGGCCAGGGGCTGTCAGCACCAGGCTAGATTTACGGCTTTACTCTCACCATAGGGCTCACTTACATGCTGGAAGAATGTTCAAGCACTTCAGAGGCATGATGGTTGAGGTGGTAAACAGGCTGAAGTTGCGTAACCAATTTAATGATGAGCTTAAGTTTCATATCTGTTAGATAGTTAAAATAGTTGCTTACAGCAAACCACCTGGTCTGTGTGGGATAACCTTGGCCAGTCAGACCTGGTCTCATATTTTACAGCGCTTTCCAACGTCTTTTACGCTATGGAGCAGTTTCACCTGAAGGCATAGTTTGATGCACCGGCATAGAAAGCAATGAAAATTGATAATAGACAATTCATTCATGCTGAATGTACGGTCTTGAGGTCATTCCACCCCCGCTCGCCCGCTTCCCAAAAAACTCCCGATGCTTGTCTTTTAATGCCAGGTACTTGGGTTTCATGTGCTGGAGCAATTTTGATGGCATCATTGCCTCATTTGCAAAACTGTTGCACAAGGCAGCTTTGGTACTTAAGTCAGATTGCTTATATTGTCTCTTGAGGACAGCCTTCTTTTTCTTGAATATTCTTCTCTCTCATTATTGGGACAAACTCCGATGAAACAGATGATGAAAAGTGGACAAACAGTCATCAGTAAACAATCTCATTGAAGCAGCTTTTAAACTGCGACCCTCCTTGTCCTTCCCCCTCCACACGCTCGCCCCCACCGACACATCCAATCACATTCAGACTCCTTCACAGCATCGCAGACGTTTGGAACTTTTAGAACTCAAACACTTTTCACGTTGCGTAACTGCACGATCGCAACAATATTTTGAGCTCATTCTCTGAGTGGCCCAGTACTGGTCAGCAGCCTGGTGGACGAGGACCACTGTTGCAGAGTATGGTATACAGCAAGGTAGTTCTAACAGTGGATAACTTGGATCACATTCCATTCTTTTTTGTTTTTTTGTGTGTGTCACGTTGCGGTTTTACAAAGTCTGCAAGTGGACGGTGGTGTGACCACACTATGTTAGACAGCACACAGCTTAAATATGCTCAGGCAGTCAGCGGTTTAAAAAGATCAGATACTTGGCTTTCGCTGCCCTTTTAGCCCTTTTTGGTGGTTAGGATTCTTTTTCATTTTTCCAGCAGTGCATCAACATCAAACGCTAACAACGCATGTTTATGTTCCCCGTATGGAGATCTGAGAACATCATCCTCTATAAGGTCTGAGAGGTCATAATCGCTGCCTCCATCTCAAAGAATTTTTACACAGTCGGTGTTCGCTTTTGTATTTGTCTTTTTATGATATCAGCTTTATGAAATAAATGGCTTGCCCTGTAACCAAGCGATGATTAAAAATAAATGTCCAAGTAGAAATTAAATTTGAGTTATACGCAACCATGTTGGTGGAGCGAGCGCATTGACTCTGAGGCCCATAGCCGACATGTGGTACTCACTAGAACTGAGGTTGTTTATGTGGAGCGCTTATTAGATTTGATCATGTTTGTCTTATCTTCCTGTTAAACTTATTTATCTTTGGCCGGTCCCCGTATCAGGTTGTGTCCCCAGTGCTTTGACTCAACCACTGTTTGTGTAACCCAAGACGTGTTGCCCGTAACGTTCACACTCTTCATGCGAACTTTGACTTTCTGTAGGTTTTGCCGGTCGGGGGCCCTTTGAGATTTTATTTGAAAAAAATATGAAGCAAAATCTTTTTTTTTTTTTGTATGTCGTGATCGTTTGGGGGCTTTTTTTTTTTTTTTTTTTTTAAATAGGAATTGCTCTGCCTGGTCAGTTCCGTTCCCGTGCTTTGTAGCCTCCACTGGGAGCTTCGAGTTGAATTGTGCTGTCTTGGCTTTCGATAAATAGTAACAGAATTGGGCACCGTCCTAATACATTATCTTCACTGCTCATCTTGATCAAACATGGATCAAGAACATTCTTTGAAATTGTTTTGGAATTGATAGTAAAGTTATGGAAGAAAACCATCTCTTTGTAGTCTTCTTTAATTATCGAAGTTTATTATCCAAGGCAAGGGCTTGTGTAACCGGATCTCTTTTGCAGATGGCAACAGCGATACAGTTAGATGTATTCCCTGAATCTGCTGTGAATGTAGCGACAGAAGATGAACAAAAGTAACGCGTCACTTTTTTCACTGATTCCAGCCACAACTACATGAGGGGCTCCATCACCATCTACATCATCAACTTACATCGCTCGCGGAAGAAAATCAAGCTGGCAGTTACGCTACGGAACAATACTGTGCATCAGTACCTGTTGCAGCCCTACGGCAACGACGGACTTAGAGCCAAGTTAGTCTACACGTGCACACACATACACATCAACAGCATGATCAAAACAATTGATTGATAAAAATGTACACATTTAGAATTAATTTGAATGTTAAATATAATTAAAAATATTCTTTGCAGTTTTTTTCATTTATTGTTGTAATAAATCCAATTTACTATAGTTTATTCTAATGATTATTGTGGGGTTATTTTTCTGTCAATTTTGGGGACCTACAAGTGTAATTTATCCATGAGAATATTTTGGACCATTGCACTTGATTTGTCAATCCCGGCTCTGGCCGAGTTTGCATGTTCTCCCCGGGCCTGCGTGGGTTTTCTCCGGGTACTCCGGTTTCCCCCCCACATTCCAAAAACATGCATGGCAGGTTGATTGGACACTCCAAATTGTCCCTAGGTGTGAGTGTGAACGCGGATGATTGTGAGTGTGTGTGTGCCCTGCGATGGGCTGGCAACCGGTTCAGGGGGTCCCCCGCCTACTGCCCGAAGAGTCTGGGATAGGCTCCAGCACCCCCCGCGACCCTTGTGAGGATTAAGTGGATCGGAAAATGGATGGATGGATATATTCCGTCTCTTTTTATCCCCTTTTACATAGTTTTGAATGACTGTTTTTTTAGATGTGTGGAATGTTTGCTTGTTGCAAGCCATCTCAGATTTTTTTATTGCATTAATCATTTGTAGAATTCAAAAATTTGTGTCAGTTTTTCTTTCGTTGCTCTTGACTTTTATGTGTGCGCTAATTCTGTGTGTATGCGCTTGTGTCTGCATGTGTGCTCTGCGGCACTTACGGTAGAGCCTAATGGAGGCTCAGGCAGGATCTCTTAAACAATGATCAAGCATCTTTTAGGTTTTGGGGAAAACAAATGATGAGACTTCTACAGAATTTTACTTTGACCACATTTTTATGAAGAATGCTCTTCCACCAGATGTCTATAAATTGTCTGAGTAATGTTTTTTTTTTTTATGGTGGTCATACCCACATGCTGCATCAAAGCTAAGGCAAATTGACGTTGCTTCACAGATGCTTTTTTTTTTTTTATAAAATGTTACCTTTGTGTGTGTGAACAGATCGTTTTAACTTGGTTGTAGTCTGTAATTATTTTTAATATTAGTATAAAATGCAAAAATGTTAAAAGTAGAGAATAATGCTGAAGAATCATATGCATATAAGTATAGAAAAACAAGCACTAAAATGACACCGTTTTTTGTCCTGATAATACTTGACGTCATTTTGTCCTCTACAGTGGATTTCATTGGAGAGGCAGTAGCACCCCCATGTGTACAATTGGTATAAGAATAATAATCCAAACATGATGAATCGTTTTTTTTTTTTTTAACTTGACTGGCTTTTCGAGTAGACTACCAAACACAAGTTATGTCGTCTTCTTCTCTCAGACACGTACAGCTGAACGGCGAGAGACTGTCAATGCTGGACAACGAGACATTCCCGGAACTGAAGCCCAAGACGTTGCGGGCAGGACGGACGATAGCCATGCCTCCCATGACCATTGGCTTCTACGTCCTCAAAAACATTAACGCATACGCCTGCCGAAGATAACATGGGTTGACCCATTGTTTCTAATTCTCACTCAAAGCTCTGAACTTAACTTTCTTTCATTGTGGACTTTTCAACCAAGATGTGACCTCCTTCCTCAAGGGCACATCAGAAGTTGGGAAATATTGCAAGAGTGACTAACTTTTTTGAAACAGACTTCTTGGGTGGTGATTAATGTGAATAGCTACCGGTTTGCAGGGCCGCCTTTACGTCTGGGGCCCCCCCCCCCCCCCCCGGGCTAACCGTCGATTTTAGCGCCACTTCCAAACTTTAATCAAGAGGCTCAACTCATTTTTTCAACATTGACAAACAAAGCAGCACGCATGTGTCTGCTTTTCATCAATTTTATAAATAATAATAAATAAGGCAGCCTACAAATCAAAAGGTTCATGCACTATAGTGTTAAAAAACGTTTTTTTTTTCAATCACTTGCGACCTGATTAGTCCACTGATCTTCAAAATGCCCTTGCGGGCCACCTGATGCCCGTGGACCCCTATTGGTTCTCGACCGAGATGAGAGCCGCACTGAGCCTTTTCCATTTCCTTCCACAGTAACTTTCCAGTCACCACAAAATTTGTTTCGCTTTAAAATTTGTTTCCATAACCACCGGACCATGGATCGTATCATACAGTCAGAACATTGATTACAAAACAAACAAACAAGAAAGTTCCCAGATGACTGTATTTCCTCAAGTAATATCCATGCCTTTAACAGGCACGGTAATTATTCGCTAGATGTGTTAATCACTTGACGTGTTTGACATCTCTGTTCTCATCCAGGTGGCTAAAATGCTCCCATGCTTCTGGCCTACATAAATGAGCTCGGAGGATCCGTCGTTTGGGTTCGTTTTTTTCTCTCCAGTCTGTTTCATTTCGCTGAACAGAAGTAGCATAAGCCGTAGCCACAATTTTGCTCACTGGGTCACTGGGCTCATCTGTCTGGATCTGGATTTGCGGCACAAAATCTGGAAGTTGGAAAGAGCCTGCTGCGGTTCTGCCATTTCAAAGGAAAGGGAAGTTTACGATTTTCAGTTTCAATCCTGTACTGTGCCAGCCTGACCACACTTGTGACATACTGTACATTGTTATACACCGCTAATTTTATTGAACAGTTTTCCCCAAATTCCTGGCTTCAGTGGCCACAGGCCCATCATCTCCAGATGGGAACATCAAGCAATTTCTATGGTGAGTTTGAATCTAGTTAACACATTCGGATATCATTGTGACAATGGACTGAAATAATTTTGTTATTGTGCACTTTATTCACGAGTGGGAGTTGAGGGCAACATAAATACAGACAACCGTTGGTCCATTGAGTTATGGTTCTGCCTGTAACTGGTCCTGGTCCATGTTTTTGGGTACCGCCGCCTTACAGGTTGTTTCATATTGACCGAAATTCAATACCTGGAATATAGAATTCATCTGTGACTCGATTAAGCTCGGTTTCCCTTGCCCAGGCCGTCAAAGAGAAAAACTTTTGGGGTATGTCTGCCAAGTGAATTTTACCGTCTCAGTCACAAGAATGACAGCAAATTCAAAACAGGTGATATTTGTTGACACAGAGGAAGTAGCATGTGTGCATTATGTGTGTCTTTCCCGATGAAGCTACTGATGTGTTTGTGTGTGTGTGCGTGCGTGCGCGTGTGTGTGTGTGCTACACTGTGCAAAAGGATATGTTTTTTCATAATCTGTTTTGTTTTTATTGTGTCACTGTTGCTTAGCTGCAAATGGGAGAGCAGAGTAGTGGAATGCCCAAAGTTGAAATTCAACCAAATTTTCTTTCTTCAAAGGGTGGGCAAATCATTTTAGTCTTAAATGTGATCTTTAAAAAAAAGACATTCACTTTACATTATTTCCTAGGGGACCGATTGTTTTGAAACTACAACTTTGAAGTCACACAACACCACAAAATAGCTTGTCTTCAACTTTGGAAGTTCCGCTGTACCAGAATTTAGCTACATTTAAATCAGAGTTAAGTTTCAGAGGCAGAATTGAAGAAAATGTTTTGAAAGTTTATTGTAACCTGGGTGTATCTTCATCGCAATCTAACTAGCTTGTGCTGCTAATTGTTACATGTCATGTACAGATTTGCTGTCATTTTTTTTTTTTTTTTTACAATCTCAAATCAGTAAAAGTAGGAAAAAGGTTCCAAAAGGTATCATACCGTCTCTATTAGGGGTGGATGTTTTTTTTTTTGTTTTGTTTTTTTTTTAATCGTCACATAGGTTTTTGTTTTGTCTGCGGTGAAAAGGTCCATCCGTATGTACCGTCCCTCCATTTTCTAATTTGGGTTTGTGTGAATTGTTGTTGTGTACATAAGAGAAACTACATGTGTTGAGCTTTACGTCGTTAACCATACATCTATTTATGTGATTGCTTGGTGGTAATGATACATAATCCAAGTCAGTAGGAACATTTCTAACCAACATCAGACTAACCCTGTTTTGAAATTGAAAGATATTTGCTTAAAATGTAAATTAGCAAATATATTTTGAAGGCTATGCGTCATTATGCATCCTGCTTCTAAGCTATGAACCTTTAAACGGGCTCACCGCGTTGATGTTATGCGAAATTCCAAAGCTATGTATGTATAAAATATTTGTAAGATGGAGGTGTTCATATTTCTTGAAGAACATTATTTTATTTTATGAAATGATTTTGTTTTTATACGTATATATTTTTTGTATTTAAAAAAAAGACAAAGGGGTGATAATAAAATATATTTAGTGGCTATTGTTTTGGGGTTTTGTTATTGTTAAAGAAATGTCTTACTATATTCCAATGACAGCAATTCTGCTTTTTGGGACAATTTCAATTTATTTTGTCATCTCACTTGTCAGAAATGATTCTTCCTAACGGGTATTTCAAACACACATCACTAGCCTTCCCTGTAAGATATTTATGCTTCACATATTTTTTTTTTTCTGACCGTGGTAAGAAAATTATAAATGAAGACGATCCATCTGGGAGATACCAGCACTCACATTTATTGATGAAAAAGGTCCGCATTTTAAGATCAATCAATCAGAGCGATAAACATAGCTAATTAGAGGTTGGAAAATTTTTGGCATCACTCTGGGATTCGTGCAGACGCAGAGAAGCAAATTTAAAATCATGCTTTAAAAAAATTTCAATCATGTGCCTATGTGGTTGATGCCAGAACTCAGAATTTTGAAGGCGTTGGGCAAGTTATATTTTCATGGCAACACCTTGAAATTGAAAGAAATTAGGGAAAAAATAAAAACCTCAAACGACTATAAGCTGTGCAGCCAAGACGCACAGGGAGACCAGACTGTTAGAAATAAATTATAACCAGTTGATGTAAGTTGTAAATTTAGGTGCTAGCTTCTAACGGTGTTTGGGCCTGGGAAGCTCTTGCTGCACACGACTCCTATTAGCCGACAACGCGAGGCAACACAAACAACATCGAACAAGAATGAAAACACCTAATCAGCTACAACTACTGTTTATAGCAGTAAGCGTCCTGGGACGCCCAGAAGCAAAAATGAGTGTGGACACAAGTTGTGGAGTGAGCTTCCTGCGCTAGCTGCTACCTAGCGGCTGTCACTTGCGATCAAGTGGTAAAGAGTTTACGCGCGTGTGTTTTAAGGTTTTTACAAGGTGCGCACTTCATTTCTAACAGGCGAAGAGTGTTGGGAGATTTAAAGCAAAGTGGTTCGCACTGAAGCCGGGCTGCCACAGTCCTGTCACTGTAGACGGCCTTTATTATTTTTTTTTAAAAGCTCCTGAAAAAACACAGAATGTTCGCCCGTTAAGTGCCCTTCACTGAGCTGTGTTCTCTCAAGAAAATTGTTTGGGATCATGTGTCAAAGTTGGTTTAAAGTGTAGGCAGCTGATTTGCGTTTGAAGTGAGGGTCTACGTGGACAGGACGTCCCAATCTATTTTCAAGGCATGTTTCATTTCAGCTGAACTTCAGTCATATGGCGCCAAAATATGTTCAAGGTTATCTGAAGGCACGTTTCACACTTCTCATGAATTCTACGATTTACAGTACATTTGTTGATTGTGATGTTTTTTTTTTTTTTTATTTTAAATAAATGCACATCTTGCTTCTGGTTGCCTGAAGTCTGTGTATTTTTTTCCCCTTAATGCACAGGTGTCAAAGTCAAGGCCCGGGGGCCAGATCTGGCCCACCACATCATTTTATATGGCCCGCGAAAGCAAAACACGCATGTCAAGGTCTATGATGCTTGCTAAAGTCTGAACCAAAATTTCAAACTGTCATATGTAATCCACAATAACAGTCATTATTCTTGACTTCTGATTTTAAAACTAGTTGTTCATCAATTTGTTGTGCGCTGTGTATGTAAGATGTGGAGGGCAAGAAACATTTTTATGGTTTCCCAAAATTCATAACGGCCCTCCAAGTGAAACTACAATGTGGCAAGCGACAAAAAGGAGTTTGGCACCCCTGCCTTAATGCTATTATGCTTTGTCCTCTGCCATTTGTTTGGTTAACAATGACCTTGCACCTTCTCTAAATAGAAATCAAGTTTAATTTTATAATTTTTTTTAAGTCCGCTTTTCTGAGGAAAAACTCCAACCTCATTGAACACATACCATATGATTCCACTTTTCCATGATGCTAGTATGCCCCTTTTGGAATTATCTTTAGAGTGGCTTAAAAATGACCTCGTAGTAATGCTTGATGTTAGCCTATTTCTTTTATGAACTGAATAAATTCCACGATGATTCCACATATTTCTTTCTCCCTTTGTTTGGTTCGAAAAAGGCCCTGCAATTTGAGGTAATGCATACATGTGTTAACACGTACATTTTTCCCTTGAAGAACACCATCGGATGGATTTTTGTTTCTTCAAATGTCAAATATTGTATAAAAAGATCTCATTAGCGTACATCATAACCACAAAACATCACCACCGGGTGATCCCACTTACCATTCATGTTCTTCCTTATTTTTCATGGCTACATAAATCTGTGTTGTATCAAAATATTGAGTGCGGAATGTACTCTTGGCTGTTTGACCGGAGCAGAGAAGTAAACATTTATGTTTCATTAACTTTGCTGGGCTTAACACAGTCCCTGAGTGCTTCGACTTCCACGTTTGGTCCAACATCTACTCGGCTCCGTCAGTGTTCTGGGAAGCCAGGCTCTTGTTTGCGCTGACTCCTGTATATACTGAGTAAACATTGTGAAATCCTCCAAGCTGGCTAAGAGGTCCTTTCTTGTCTCCTGGCTGATCATAGTGTATAAATAGTTGTGGGGGGCCGCCCTGGACTACAGAGCCCCTCCACCACAGAGGCGCTGTCACGCAAAACGGCCTGAGCGCCAGGCGCAGTTATTTTGATGATTGAGTCATCTTTTAAGGGGGGCCTGAGTCTGCGAAGGCCGAAGAACCTCTGGTCAAAATGTGTGCATTTTAGTGAGGTTCTCATCAAAGTTGCATACGACAACAGTTTCAGTGACTGCCATGTACATTCTGTTCTCGATTGCCTTACATGGAACAATAACGTTTAAATACATATGCGTGACACCCAACAGGAAGTCATTCATTTTGGTTTGAGGCAGCCATTTTGTATAAATTCCAGAATGCATCCTTTGACAACTTTGACTGAGGAATGGCCAAAGGACCTCCAATAAGAGCCAACAGCGACGTTCCCGTGCCTATTCGCTGTTTTTGTGCTTAGACCAAAGCTCTGTCTAATTGGTGTCTTTCTTTGCTGCCATTTTGTGCCATATTGGTGCCAAGGAACCATGTTGAAGTGAGTTGAGTAGCTTAATTTTGTGCTTTGGCGCCACCTTGCGGCATCTATAGGCAGGGATCAGTCACAGCAACAGAGAGTATGATGTTTCATCATTATGAAATGCGCGCAATAAACCAGTTAACGCCAAGATGGTAAACTTAGTTTCTGCCTTACATTCTGTGTCTCGTTTGATTTGTCATTTTCATATCAATATTTAGTCCATCAAGTGCAAAACTAAGTACGCTAAGTCATACAGTTTCTGAGAATTTTTGCATTTGCATGGGGTTGGCCTTGTGGCTCTCTGCACTGACTTTCCAGCCCTCTAATAACTTAACAATAGAACCTCGTGCTTAAATGCTGCAAATTCTCACCATAGTTTACATTCCAGAAACATCAAACCATCGCAGGAGCTGATCATGTGTTCGCTTGTGGCAGCACATGACCACGTCTGACTACACAAGCGCTTATTGACGAGGAAAAAAAAACCTGCATTCATTCTTAATTTCGAGATCTACTGCGCACGGATACTGCTTGTGCTGTGGTCACATGACGTGTATGTAGTGCGGCTACAACGCGGAAGGAACGAGTACTGTCCAAACCTGTACACAAACTGGCCGAAGCATTTGACAAGCAAGGAAAAAAAAACCTAATGGATCTAGAGCTCGATATTACAGGCACCATAAAACGCAAAGTAAGTCGAATGGTTCTTTTTCACTAGTGGGAAGTACGAGTGCATCAAGGAAGTTCTCCTTTTTTTTTTTTTTGAGCCGCTAACTTTTATTTTTTTTTTGCAGCGTGCAAATCGAAAAAAAAGACCCCAAATAGACTGAAAATGATCAAGTATGGTCATTATTTGTGTTTATTTTTACTACGCATGGACGTGCCACTTTTGTACACAATGCAGACGGTCCCTGGATGACATTGTCGATAGAAGTAGTTAACCTAATGGCCATAATATTAGGTACACCTGCAACGAAATGACATTAAGAAAAAGTGCTTCCATGATAAATTATGCGTTTTTAAATATAGAAACGTGTTTATTGCACTGTCAGAGAGTTATTGAGTTAAATATGTAATTTCGAATTGAAACATTATACGGGTGGTTTGTAGTTACAGTGATATACGAGAATAACTACAAAAACAGTGGTTGTCAAACACCAACAAAAACGTTTCATGAATGTATAATATTGCGCAATTTCTAAATGTTTTCTTTGCTGCAAACAAAGAACTTGCAAAGTTGAGATACCGTACAATAAGTCAGCTCAATTATTAGAACACAAGGATGTCAATAGACTGCCAATGATTTCAGTTTTTTTCCGATTAATTTACGTATAATTTTAACTAAGTCATTCATTTCCCTCATTAACCTTTAATAAACGTGTTGTACAAAAGTTTACTGGAACAATTTTAAGGACTTCCATTTCTCCCTGTCACTGTTGTGTTTGTATCTTGTTTTAATTAGTGTTAATGTATGCAGAGCTGTAGAGTGGCTGTAAAAAGCGAACACAAGTACAGGTCTTCCAAATGAAAGCCTTACTCATCACCACTGAGAGCGCCGAAGTCCTCTTCCACTGGACTGACCCTGAGTTCCAGCACAATATCCAGCAACAGTATGGCGCGGCCCAGGAGGAAGGCCAGAGGGTACAGAGGAGAAGAACATACATTTGTCTCCTGAAATTGCATGTTTAATAATTATAGCACAATATGTGATGTATTGAAGCTTCCAGATTTTGAAGATAGCATCAGCACTTTGTTGGCCCCCATCATCATCTCCTGCAGCTCGATGGTCGACCGGCTGGGGGACAGCTACACTTGCTTCACCACGGAGAACAATCACATCTATGTACTACACCAGGTACTCATTAAAAAAAAAAATGTCAGTTTGCATCAGTACCTAACATCTGGGCAGTCGTCTGATGTACATTTAGGAACTACTGCTGACATTTGCACAATCTACAAGTCCACGGTTACCAAGGTTTGCTTTTTGATTGACATAGCCAGAAAGGTATTCACTTAACAATATGTATTCAATTGTGTTTGTAGTTTGCACTGGAGTAGAATTGCACTACATCTTACAAAGAGCTGTTTGTAATATACTGTTCAGCATTTGACTCTCTCATCCAGCTAAACAAGGTTACCATTCAGCTGTCATATAAAATGCAGCGCAGTTGTACACCATTACAACCACAATTACATTCCACATTTGAAATCCATTTTACGATACGGTGATGCTTTTCATCAACATCATACCTTACAGATAGTGTTTCAGTGTTCATGTTTTTTCTTATACACAGTTAATTAAAGAATAGTAGAAACCAAAAAGGAAAATGATTTGACTCAGTAAATCAATTTCGCAAATGCATTTTTTTTAAACATCACTGAAACACTAAGATAATGCAATGTTCTTTTTTTTTAGCGTAAAGGTAAAAAAAAAAAAAACACATTTGGAAGTAAGTGTTTTTGTCGGACAGTAACATTAGGAAACAACAAAATGCTCATTATTGTATTTGTTGTCTAGGTTGGACTACAATATATGACCAAAAATTCCCATCTTATTCTATTAATGTTCCAAAATTTGCATGGAAAGTGGCCTATCTGAACTAATTATAACTAAAATCATAATTAGCTTTGAAATTTGAAAAGCAAATATATTTTTTTATTTCTGAACTGACAACCATTGGATTTTACTATAATGTCTAATACTGTCGTCCCTTTAACCCAAAAACCATAATCATTTTCTTATGTTGGGGATCATTCGATCCGTACCATTCTAAAACTTATGAGGGACGATACTTGGAAAACGATACCATCAATTTGTGGATGTGATATGTGTGTTCACCTTCAGTTTGACGAGTGTCTCTACATCGCCGTGAACGGAGACGGAGAGGAGGGGGAGGATGATCTGAGGAGGAAAATCTATGTGACCAAGAAGATGATTGAGGTGCTCTTCGGTATGGTCACCCTCAGCGGTAGCCTGATCAGGAGAGAGTAAGACATCTTAGAAACGTATATTTGTATATTGGGTCCTACACCTCCAATGCAACACAGTCTTGATGCGTTGTATGTTTTTTTTTTTAAATACATATACAATGTCACTGAGATCTGGCATCTGCAGAGGCAAGGCAAATTACAAAAAGAATGAAGATTGACAACACGTTAACGTCATAATTGGTCCAATTGCACCCGTTTGACCTGACAAACGATATTGATGCGTTTGTGTTGTTCTGTTTCTGTTCAGGCTGCGTCCTCAAGACACGAAGCAAAGGGCTCATCTATGGAAACATCTCCAGAGCCTGCTAGACACCTACAACCACCTCAGGGAGAACGACCAGAGCTTCTTAGTGGAGGTGGAGTCTATTCACCACCTTGTTTGTTTCAAAATTGCATCTAATGCAGCATGTTGGGTGACTTCCAGGTCGTTTTCATTTCAAAACAGCTAAATTAATTTTTGACAATCAGTCTTGGGTGCATCCCATATCACACAAAGCCCGGATAAGCTTCAGGTCACCGCCAACGCTCATCAGTACAGTGCCAACCCCAAAATTAGTAGTATTTTTGAAAAGGTCTTAGTATGCAATCATAAATTCTACTTCTGACAAAACAAAATATGAGAAAAAAAAATAAATCCCAGTTACTTGCCAGTACTGCTCACAAATTATTGTGCATGTCCTACTGAAGTTTTTTTTTTCCCCCAAATTGCTGATTTAAATTTCCTATGAAAAAGTTCAAAAAATGTATGAAGTATTTTGTTTTCTTTGAAACTTATTACACCACATTGTGTAGGGATTCCTATTGAGGTGTCCAATTTGCCTCTAAACTTAATCATTAATATTTTGGTGGACACAGAATTTTTTTGTTTTGTTTTAAATTTAAAGATACGTTTTTTTTGTTGTAATTGATGTCTTTCCCACCCCATGACAATATTCTTAACTGATACGGTTTTTAAAATGAAACATCAAACTCATAACACGCAATAAATTTGGGCCATATTTTTTGTCAGTAAAATTTATTTTGAAATGTTTAACCACTAGATGGCAGCAGTAACGTCTGTTTGAATGGTTTACATTTTTGTCTTTTGAACTCAAGCTGTAAATACAAATCCATGAGATTTGAGCAGTGAGTGATTCCGAAGCACAGTCTAGTGTGCCATGAGAGATCATCCTCTGATGCAGGAATTTTACACTTCACTGCTGAGGAAATTATTGACTAATACAAAGAGCTACATATCAATCTATGTCAGTGTCACGTAGTGACAGGCATAAGAATGAAATGCTTTTCGCTTCGCTGGCAGAAGGTTCGACAAATCTGTTTACCCACCGGTTACCATTCATACAATAAAATAAGTCATGGCTTTAAGATTTGTGTCCAATTCAACACCCGCTAAGTATATTTGTGAGAAAATTCAGGCACAATCCTCTTTTTCCAGTATTTTGGTATGGTGGTGTAAAATACGTTCCTTGTCTCAATAAAGTTTGGGAAAGACTGCATCCATAGACGAGTGGTGCTATTCAACGTGTGTTTCGCTTTGACAGGCGGTGGAGAGGCTGATCCACCCCACGCTGTGCGAGCAGTGCATCGAGTTCCTGGAGCGCCGTTTAGTTCAGCAGCTCAACAGCAGCGTGGAACGGGCGGGTGAGGAGGTGCAGCACGCTTTCATCCTGGTGCACACCAAACTACTGGCCTTCTACTCCAGGTGCTGCACTCTCTTGCTTTCCCACCTCGTCTTCACCAACTCAAATAAACATTCTCACTTGGGCCTTGACGGTATCTGCAGCCGCACTGCGAGCACGCTCGCCACTTCAGACCTCTTGGTCCTCATCATCATGGCCCAAAACATGTATCCTAGCAACATGGACCAAGATGACCACACTTCTGAGGTACAGTAGGTGGCGTTGACGGTCACTCACTTTCACATATCTCAGAGCAGGGGTTTACACAGTGCCGCAGACTCTGAAGCCAAGTCATTTAGGACTGCGGATTATTTTGCAGCTATTAAAAAAATATATACATACATTTTGCCTTGAGCCTGTAGCTGAAGTTACTTTCGCAGTTTTGGGAGTTTTTTTCCAAGCTGTCGTGCCACCCTAGAAGTTGTGTTGCACCCTAAAAGGACAGCCACGCCACACATTTTTTCAATTGTAAGAGTAAGCATTTTTTTCCCCGTCATTTTTGACTATTCCTGTGATGTGTTATTTTTGTATATTTTCTTTTTTTTTAGGATTATTGAATATATATACTTTAAAAAAATATATATTTAATTTTTGCAATTTTTTTTTTTTTTTAAGCATTTACTTTTTATTCTCTCTTTAATACTGAACACGTTTGTTTTCTGTCAGTTTAAATGAGGATGATGATGATGATTATTATTGAAACAATTACTCTCAAACATTTTTTTTGTCTCTTTCATGGGAAGGATGTCGATAGTGCAAGCGGCTCAGGCCCAGAGAGCTTTTACACACCTCAGCCTTCCCCTACTGATTCCAGCAGTTCAGGTGAGTTTGGGGATATTTGTTGTTTATATATTATTATTGGTCATGCAACACAGTAAGCCGTACTAAATGTTGTTTTAATATATTTTTTTAAAAATCAACAGGAGTAGTTGAAGTGACTGAGTATTTGTAGATTTGTTTTAATGTATTTTGGGGGGGCGGGGCACAATTTTGACTGTGTATAGCTTAATAAAAATCATAGCATAACATGCATCTCCCAAACAATTTATGACACAGCGGTAAATATTATTTCTCCCAGCCAAACAACAATAATTATAATGGAAAAATACATCTTGAAATAAAGTAACAAATTTTATGTTTCCTATGTTGAGAATAAACTTGATGTATAAAATCAAATTTGTGCCCAGTATCCTCCTATTGTAGTCAAAATCGCTCAAGTGAATGTGCATAGTGTGTCAATTAATTTGAAAAAGATATATTTTTTTTGTTCCTCCAGAAAAACAAGCAAGAGAAGATACGACGGTGTTTGAGTTTGTGGATCCGGACATTCACGTATGCCTTCATATTCCTTATCCTTTATACTGCATGTGCCACATTGCAACATCTCGTAGCTTACTATACAGGTGTGTGTGTGTGTGTGTGTGTGTGTGTGTGTGTGTGTGTGTGTGTGTGTGTGTGTGTGTGTGTGTGTTCAGATGGCAGAAGACAGCCTGCACACTTTGGATGTCCCTCCACCTGACCCGTCCACGCCCCACAGGGTGTTTCTCGAAGTGTCCCACAAGGATGGGCTGTATCCCATGATGCCTCACTCCATGTACTGTCTGCCACTGTGGCCCGGCATAACGCTGGTGCTACTCACTAAGGTTTGTACTCAAGGCACAGCTGCCTCCCATCCGCGTTTGACTTTAAACTCACGCGATCTCCGTTCCACCCAATCCAATCAGATTCCCACCAGTGCAGTGGCGGCGTCCGTCTACATGTTCCTGGAGGCCTTCGCCAAGCTGGAGAAGCGTTTGAGCGAAGGCCAGGAAGGGTCGTCTGCTACTAGAAGTCAACCAACGATCCACGACATCCGAAGCAAACTGGACAAGTTCATCAAAGTTCTGGGGCCCAGCGACATTCAAGTAGATATTTTTTTTCATTTACATCTCTTGTGTACATTAGTCTTGTGTGGTGAGCAGGTGTTGTTTTCAAAATGATGATTTAAAAAAAAAATTTAAAAAAAAAAAATAATTTTCCAGTCATTTGATGTCTTATATTCTGCCTGTTTTTCATCTTTGAATTGAAGTATAGTCTTGCGATATGAAGCGCTTGTATGTAAATGGCATTACATGTTTTTATTTTTATCCTAATGGTTGAAGACCCCTGCAAATGTTCGTCAAACACGATTCCGCGTCTTACCCCTAAGCAGCAGATCAGACGTCGTCTTAATCAAGGTCTTACTTTCCATGTGCAGGAACAAATATGAAATAGTAAATTATGTTACAGACACATTTGAACAATAAGTGTAGTGCAACCTAGAAGAGCTTTAATTTGTTTTTTCAAATGTATGTTGCACATATATAATATTCCTTAAAAAAAAGATTCACTGTCTTTTTTCAGACAAACTTGATCATTTTTGATACTTATTCATGACATTTTCAATCCAGTCTGCACAGTTACAAAATGTCTGGAGCGAATTCAAGAACCGAGCCTTTTCCCGAGGTGGACCTGGCTTCAGCACAGAGTGAGTGTCATTCTGCAAACTCTCAATGTTTGCATTTCAGCTCGTCATTGGTCCCGTCATTGTTTTCTTTGCAGTCTCATCCCGTGGTGTAAGAGCATGAAGACCCAGCTGTGTGGCATTTACCGCCAGTGCTTCCTCATTGACTCCGGACCGGCCGACGTTCCTCGGAAACTCTCGCCCACTCTGCAAGAGCGAGCGCAGACGATGCTGCAGTACGTATCAGTCAAAAAATGGATTTACCGTATTTTCCACACTAAAAGGTGCACTGGATTATGAGGCGCACCTTCAATGAATGACCTATTTTGTAATTTTTTTTCATACATTGGGCGCACCGGCATAAGATGCAATCTACAATGCATCCACTAGATGGAGCTACACTCAAGGAAATGCCAACAGAACGATCAGATGTCAGTAAAACGGTTCACTTAACCAACAGCAAGTTATAACATTAACTCGTTAACGTTGAACTCTCTTGCCACTGCTCTATTTCCATGTTCAACTGCAACTCTCTTGCCGCTGCTCTATTTTCGTGTTCAACTGCAAACCGATCGCCTTCAGTTTGAACTCTGCGTTGTGAGCAGGTCTCGAGCAAGGAGACATTTTGGGGTCGAAATATCGAAATACCGTAATGACCATACACATGGCCCATCGGATTTTAAGGCGCGCTGTAAACTTTTAAGAAAATGGAAGGCTTATAGGTGCGGAAAATACGGTACATGTTCAAGTCCAAGGGAATCCCTGTGAAAGATTTTGAATATTAACCCTTTCATGCGCCCCGGAACCCGATAACATGATTGCTGCATGCGTTTTGTGCACCTCTTCTGTCTTCCCTCTCACTTCCTCGCCTTCTCCCAGGGAAAAGCTGATCGACTGGAAGGACTTCTTGCTCGTGAAAAGCAAGAGAAACATTACCATGGTGTCATATCCTGTCATGGAATCGAGCCTGGTACAATTGATTTGTCCTTGAGTTTCGTAATCTATCTCTCAGTGCCTGTACTGTCCTTGACCCATTTGGTCTCACGTACCTGGAGGACTTCCCGGGACTCATCCACTTCATCTGCGTGGATCGATCCACGGGCCAGATGATAGCGCCTTCCCTCAATGTCACTGAGCGCACAACATCGGAGCTGGGCAAAGGGCCGGTCGCTCAGTTAATCAAAAACAAGGTGAGACGCACGTGCCAATCAAATGTTGTGTTCAACTGCGGACGATTGACTCTGTATCCTAGCAACACCGACACTCGTAATCCTCCCTCACAGTTGGGGATTTTTTTTGGCTCTATTCATTGTTCGTGATCAATTGTCATCACACAGTATGGAATCACCAGACGTTTCATTAGGGACACCGGCACAATGCACTATCAATAAAAATTGAGTGTTACATTTTGTGCACACTGGATCTCACTGGATTGCGCGGTTGTGCCTAATGTTAGATCCCCTCAGCGTGCATAGCCGACTGTAAGTGTGTGTGTGTATTGCAATCAAGGTTTGGAGGCTGGTGAGCACAACGCGGCGCTACCTCCAAAAGGGTTACTCCACTGTCACGCTACGAGACGGCGACTTCTATTTCTGCTACTTCCTCTGGTTTGAAAATGAAACCGTAAGTTGGTTGGGTTTTTACCGCCGCAAGAAAATGGGATTTTACCTTCATTCAAAAGTGGGAAAAAAATACAAGGTGTGTCTGTGTAGTTATGTGACTGGTGTCATAAAAGATTCACTTTTCCTGGCCCAACCTTCTCTGCCATACTGCTTCTCTGTTTCATCCTGGCATATTAAAACCATCAGGGCTACAAATTGGAGGCGGTGGAAATGCCCGTCCTATCCGATGACTCCGCCCCTATCGGGATGCTTGCCTGGGACTACTACAGGTGAGCGAACTTCAGCGGAACTGTTAAAAAAAAAAAAAAAAAACATTTAATGCACGTTGTGTGTTCACAGGAAGTTACTGCGCTACTACAGTAAGAGCCACCAGGGCGAGGTGGTGAAGTGCTACGAGCTGCTCACAGTGCACCTGGGCGTCATCCCCACTGACATCATCTTGCAGCACTGCCGACAGTTGGCCAGCAAACTGTGGGAGCCCTCGCGCAACCCACTCCTCTAGACCCTCGGCTAAAAGCACGGGCACACTGTATGACGAACCCTTTGTTGTTTTGCACATTTGAAGATTTTATGAGTACACCTTCATGACACTTTCCTTTTTTTCTGCCACCAACTGCTTGCATAAATAATTTGACCGTATTTTATTTCTATTGTTGTGGATGAAAAACGCAATACCTACCCCGATGCTAACACAATGTGAACACATCAAAAGAGCTAATTAAATTAGCGTCGATGTTGCGCTAATAATTAAAGTTTAAGCAACTTCTACTGGTAGCAACACAAATAGAAAATGATTAATATGCAGTATCTGCGTGTAGTATGACTATGTACTGTACTGCCCCCTGGTGGCCAAGTCCCACATTTCCGAATGAGTAGCACAATGCCCATTGAATGAACTGCCAAGAGTTAAATTCTTCGCATTCTATTTAATTTTTTTATTTCTGTCTTGACGTTGTGAAGTGCTTCTGTTGAGTGCAATTTTTCTCATTATAAAATAAGTTATAAAAAAAAAAAAAATGTTGGTGGTTTTTTGAGGGACTGAAGCCAATTTTGGGCCATATGACCACATATGATGCACAGTAAATTTTTGATATTATGCAATCCACGTGTGGGGATGATGATATCACTTCCTGTCAAGACAAGCCGCTACAGTCTGAGCTTGTCTTCTATCCTTTCAAAGTTGAGCCCACCAAGTTCTCTGACAGACCCCAGAGGATGTTGTGCTTTAAAGGTCAGTCCCCGCCGTTCCAGAGCAGCTGCGTGGCCACAGTAATGTGGGACATCATCGTCATTGGCGTCCTCTTCCTCATCGTCATAGGCTCACGGCGGGAGGAAGAGGGAGGAGGCGGGAATGCGTTTTGAGTTCACGTTAGTGTCAGCGTCTGCATCTCCGCTTCACAGCGCTCCTGTGAGGTCGCTGACGGCGCCAGCTGCCACCAGCTCCCTCAGAAAGAGCTTCTCAGAGCTGACGTCATGAACCACCTGCAGGTATGACAACATACAAAGTAGAGCACCCATCTCCTCCGAGGCCAAATGATGGATCAGCACACAATTGTACCCAACGCGCGCATGTGTCTAGATTGGAGCTATGCAGTGCTCACTGTGAACTTGAAGAAAAATGCTACATTTTATGAAATCATATGGGAAATTGGAAAGGGTTTTTTTTTCTGAATATGTTTTGGGTTCATGCCAACATTTTCTAAGTTGATGGTAAATTATGAAAAGACTACAATTGAAAGAAAAAATCCTGGATGGGAACCACATTTCAACAAGTTCATAAGAAAAATTGAACATGAGATTATTTTTGTGAATGTATCTTGGGGTCTACATTAAAATATAGAGAGTAGAAAACATCCTGGATATAAACATAAACGTTATAAGTTGATGGGAAACTGCTTCTTAAAATTAAGCAAAATTCCAGCCAAGTGCTATTTTTTAAAATACTTTAGCAATCCAAGTTGTGCAACGAAACGTGTAAAAATTGGCTTCGGATTTTCCCCCCCAAATTATTGTGCATTTTTAAAAAATTGTTATCTCATAAGAAGTTGGCAAAAATTACTTTGCAAAAGTACCAAAAAAAAGTATGGACCCGCCAAAATTGTGAGAAGTTGAAACATGAAAATTAAACACACACACACAGACACACGCACACAAATGAGAAAATGCTTACATATTCCATTTTACACATTCCAGCTTCCCTAATTTTGACAAAATCTTTTGCTCTGTAAAGAAAAAGGTTGCACCCCCAACTTTTTTGAAGGTGGAAAGAAAAGTGTTGGAAAAAAAAAAATTGGATCCGCAGCGTGGCTTCTTTCTTCGACATTCTCGCACCCTTTCCCAAAATGTAGTCAACGTGATGAACCTTTTAGCGTAATCCTAGTACCCGCCGCCCCCAAAAAATAACCTCTGTAGCACCAAAAATGCCCTCCCCAATGCCACCATGTTTTGTATCACTCAATTACTGGGAGTACTTTTCACCTGATCCTACCAAATTGTAGCAGAAAAAAAATGTCCTTGGTGGAGGTACTAACTGCATGCAATATCCAAAGGTGCGAGGCGGACTTACCTGAGCCTTCATTGCGGCCATGCGTACAGTCTCGTAGTAGTGAAGAGGAGCGTGAGGGTGCTGCATGTTGTAACCGAAGCCTGCCAAGCTCACGTGGTCACACAGCTGCAGAGCCATCACCACTGCGCCAGCCCCCAGTGTGGGCACGATTGACTTCAACACAACACATGTTCACTGTGACCCGCTGTCGCGTCTGCTCAGTGAATACAAAATGTATCTACTCAGATTTTGTGCATGCAAACTGGTCTGATATGCGCATCGGTTTCAAAAACACGACAGCAAACCCTCCAAAATTGAAAAAAAAATAAAAATCATCCTTTCTGTGATTTTTTTCAATATGAAATCACGTCCAGCGAATTAAATTGATCACCAAAATAAAAGCTTTATCAACTGTGCAGGAGATGTTTGAAGTAACATTTCAACATTCTCATACATTGACTCAACTAGTATGGAGTGAAACTAAAACAAAATCAAACCAGCCTTGAAAATGTTGAAACTTTTACATGATTTCCTTGTTGTAGAACTGATCATTTGCATGTCATCACTGTTGGCCAGAAACCATCTATGTCCAAATTTGGAAGCAGATTTGTTGTATCATGACTTATCAAACTGGCAGCCCTTCGCATTAATCACGGTTTGACACTTGATCACCGCTGGACTGAAATGTCAAATATACTCACACGTCCTTGTTTTTGTGAGTATTTCTGAAGGACTTCTCCAGTCTTGCGAATAATCTCTGGATGGAGGATCCGGAAGTTCTCTGCTCTCAAGGGAATATCATCCACCACCTCCTTCCAGAACCACAACTTGGACCAGAAGCCCTGTGAGACGCGTGAGGCGAAGGCTGTGAGTGAGGATTTCATTTTTATTGAACGTAACTGTTTCGGCTCGTGCGGACTCACCAGAGGTTGTTTCGAGATGACAGAGGTGAGCCAGTCCAGGTCGAGAGTCTTGAAAACCACAAGAGCAACAATGGAGGTCTTGTTGTACTCGTCGGCAGAGCCGGATGCTCCCTCTGGATAGATCAAGCGGATGGTCGTGCGAGAACCGGCGTCTAGGCTGTGAGTGAGGATTTCATTTTTATTGAACGTAACTGTTTCGGCTCGTGCGGACTCACCAGAGGTTGTTTCGAGATGACAGAGGTGAGCCAGTCCAGGTCGAGAGTCTTGAAAACCACAAGCGCAACAATGGAGGTCTTGTTGTACTCGTCGGCAGAGCCGGATGCTCCCTCTGGATAGATCAAGCGGATGGTCGTGCGAGAACCGGCGTCTCTCTCGTAGCCAAGCACTGGAGCGTTATTCATCCTTAAATGATGACAACAAACAACATGAGCAGAATTGAGCTTTCAAAAAGAAAAGTGTGTGATGTGGGCTCCCTCTAGTGGTGTGCAAAAGAATCACTAAACACAGCTCAGTTGTATTTAACTTTGAAGATGAATACATTAATGTTCAAATCTTTAAGATTTATTTTTTTGACAGAAGTAAATGGCCAAATTAAATTCTTGTTTCCTATGCGTGTGCTTTAGTTGCCAACAGACCTGATGATGACATCATACTGATCTATATGCAATCCAAGACGGCTCCCGTGGAGGACCCCTCCGCTGCCCACCACCACGCATCTTCTGCAGCCACCGTCTCGCCGCAGGGTCTCGGGCAGGCCGACCTGAGGCAGAAAGGCCAGAGCCCGGGTCAGATGCTCTTGGCTTCCATGGAGCCCCAGAGGAGGGGGCGCGTCCCAACAGGCGGTGCTGCCTTCTCGCCGCAGGAACACCGGGATGTCCGTCAGAGCCGAGGAACATGGCAGCTGCTTCAGGCGCTCCACGCACCAGCGACGTTGACACCGGCCTGACAGCAGCCAGGCCGAAAGGTTCAGCACCTCCTGAGGAGGAAGTGGAGGAGGAAGAAGAGAGTAGGAATGAGTGCGTTTGTCTCTCCCTGTGTGTGTTTGTGTGTGCGTCACAATGCATATATGTCAGTCTGTGTCTTTATGTGTTGCCTTTGTGTGGGTGTAAGCATGCTTTTGTGTTTCTGCATGTGGGTGTGTGTGCGTATGTGTACGTATGTCTCTTTGTATAGGTGTGTGCGTGGCTCTCTGTGTGTCGATACACACCTCCCGTTTGGAATACTGATCGTCGGTAATAGCAAATTTACGCAGGGGGAAATATGCTGGAATCAGAATAGCAGAGTAGCATCCAGCCAGAAGCAGCACACTCAGGACAGCATTCTCTGTCCTGGGTCACAACACCACATTATTAACCTCTGATGTGCTGGATACAAAAATGCACACTCACTTGACAACTCATTACGTACAATAGCACAAATACAGTTAAATTAAATTTGCCAAAGGTAATGCCGCTAATTAGGTATGAAAGTCACATTGTGTTTATATATAAGTTTTGGGTTCAACACTGCACTGCAAATTTCTCCGATAATACCTGCTGATGAAAAAGTCTTTGCGCGGCATTGCTTCTCGCTCGTGCTCTACAGGCGTCGTCACTTTCGGCTCTGCGGCCTCGGGCAGCAGTGGGGAAACATCCTGGGGATCTTCTACACTCAAGCGATTGAGACTCACCATGGTAATGACACCTCCAACACACACACAAGTCAAATACTTTTGAAACATAACCGAAATGCACGACAGAAGTGTACTTTTTTGGGGTCATCATCATCAGCATTCTCACTGGGTTGTCCTCAAGGCCTCATCCGAGCGGGATATGCCCGGAACACCTTGCTGGGAAGGTGTCCAGGTGGCATCCTAACAAGATGCCCGAGCCAATTCATCTGGCTCCTTATGTGGCCGCAAATCCGATGACACAACCACAAATCAATCATCAAAATGTGGCCTAGGGTGTCCTGGTGCAAATATGGACACCCTTATGTTTGAACATGGTGTTTGTTTTGGACAAGCACAGAAGTCCAGGAACAGAACACCACTCAGGTTCCTCCCAATCAACCCGACCTGGGGTCTCCCTGTCATTACCCACATGATCACATAAATAAACAGAATGAGCGAGTCCCCAAGGGGGAGCACTCTCCAGCACTCCTTCCAAGGACTCTAAAAACAACTTAGCTCAGAATATCATTGAGACGCACAAAATAAGGTCATGTCTCATGCGGGATTTTTAGACAATGCAGCTGCTGCTGCAAAAAATAAAATAAAAAACTAAGCAAAATGTCGTGAAAAGTGACGAAAATGAGTGAAATACCCGTTGGACACTCCTGTCAGGGTCTTGACGCCTCTCCTCAATGGTTGAAGCTTCATGTCCAGAGCGGTTAAAATGGCTGCGGCCGCTTTCTACCACAGCCCTCTGACCAACACTGGTTATACATTAACTAGACTAGAGGCTTGGACATTGTGTCAGCCCAAGTCTTATTTGGTCATCCAGATACACACACACACACACACACACACACACACACACACACACACACACACACACACACACGCAAAAAAT